CGAATTGTCTGTAGCATGTGACAACTACAGATGATACAGTTCCTGCAAGTAGGATACATGACCAAATGGGGCAGGTAGAACAGTACGAACAGTTTGAAAACATTTTTCAGATCGTATTGAGAAACATGACGATCAGGTTGACTTCGAAACTATAAGGATAGCTATTACAAGTCAACGCGAAGGGAAGGATTGGAGATCGAGGTGCATAGATAACGAAAAGGACTCAAAAGTATACAGCGAGAAACGCCTCACATGATAACAGAACAAGCCATGAATACTTTATTGTCGCTCTACACTAGACTCACTTTAATGCAAGTCCCAGCTATAACTGCTACGCTACAAACATAACTTTCGACTTTATACCTAAAACAGATGGAACTCTGACTTCTTTCCTTGTTCCTTGTCAAATTCTGGATCTTGGGCAACCTAGAAGTAGGGTATATTGGGGGCCAAACAAAAGAAAAGAGACCAGTGAAAGAGCTAATACCTTTTTATAGTACTCCCAATCTTTAGATAAAGGTTTGTCTCCTTCGAGAGAAGCCTTCGACATGTAGAATTCGTACGGTGGCTCATAATTCTTCTTATCTTGCCAAAACATTCCCTTTTTCCAGAATGAGTAGTCAAATTCTCCTCTCGCCAGTTTTTCCTGAATATAACAAGCGAACACTGAGTCGACACCAGCTTGACGCATAGGCCAAGCGGACCTTATGTTCCTTCAGGGCCCTCTTCCGCTCTTCCATAATCTCAGGATGACGCCGCTCCCAAATTAGTCGATGCTTTTGCTTCATATATGCGTCACGCACATCTGCCTCCCCTCCTAATTCACCATACTTGATGAAAAAATTCAATTCATTTTCCTCTAGATCTTCAATCACCTGAAAGTAGTCTGATATAATGAATGTGTAAAAGTAACAGCCAAGAATTTGCGATGTTGTGCAGTCAAAAGCTATCGAAAGCTGACCAAAAAAGCAAGTTTTATAGAACGATGAACGCGTACGGATCCGTAGACAGACTCGTAAACG